GGGGGGGGGGGGGGGAAGGGGGAGGCGGCGGCGGGGAAGAGACAGAAATCTTTAATAAATAAATAAATTAATTAAAAAAAAGAAATGGTGGTGTGAACTCACAGGCCCTCAGGCTCTGGATGAAATGGTGGTGTGAACTCACAGGCCCTCAGGCTCTGGATAAAATGGTGGTGTGAGCACATAGGTCCTCAGGATTCTGGATGAAATGGTGGTGTGAATGCACAGGCCCTTTGGTGTTTGAGTCCCTTCTGACCTCCCATACTCGGTCAATCCCAGTCTAGCTACAGTAAGAGAATCTATAGGAGGCAAAGGGCACTGTTACGTGTGTCCAAGAGTGCCCAACTGTAGCAGTTTTACCCGAGAGTCTAGGGGCTAAGACAAGTAATGACTACGTAGCATCGCACATTCCACACATTCTAGAGCCAGTGTGAGACCACTCTGCAAAGGGGTCTGGAAACAGCCTCTGCAGCTTTAGCCTGTGCCCTCCTAGGGTCTGTGCATTCATGGAAGGGAACAGACCTCAGAGAGGGAGTGTCCTCCAGCACTGCAGGCAGTTAGGGGCCCCTCACCCCAAGTCAAGCAACAGGAAATATCAGAATGAGCAGGGACACTGCTGGAAGACTAGACCCTAAACTTAAGATTCCAGGCACCAAGGCAGGGAGGAGGGGATGACATGGGAGGACAGGGGCAAGAGAAAGCTGGGCCATAGTGGAGAAGCAGCATCCACTTTCAAGGAGAGAAGGAAAGGAAATACCACAGTGAGGGGGTGATCACGCAGCATGTCTGAACCCAGCACAAGCTCTGGATGAAAACCAGGCCACCACAGAAGATAGCTCCCCACCCTCAACCCAAGGGCCAGAGAACACTGTAAGATGGCTGGTAAGAGAAGGAGTGGGACTGGCAAAACCCAGCAAACAAGCTCACCTTGTGTTTTCCAGGTTGCAGGCCAGCAAAGCTGCCAGGCTTTGGGAGGTCAGGCCTGAACTCTCCACAGAAATGCCTGAAGCAAGGGTACTGCTAGAAGAGGCTAAGGGCTGCTGAGTTCTCAGCTTCATCTGGGGACAGGCTGAGTGGGAAAATAACAAAAACAAAACCCATATAGGTGGCTCAAAAGGCACACTGGGGAAAGATGAGGTTGGCTTCCCCTTACACCTAGCTGAGTTCAGCTCATTTCATAAGCAGGTTACATAAGAACGTGAGGTATCTTATGAGGACCAGGAACCAGAAACTGCCGGGGAAGTCTTCAAGAAGCAGGGAGGAGCCTTCTCTGCTCCACTTCTCTCTCCTTCCTGTGGGGTTTCTTTCTGAGTTTCTCAGGGGCAGCCATCTCTATTCTCACACCTGTCTAGGATCATAATGCCAGGCAACAATCCTGAGCGCAGGTGTCGGCATCTCTGCATTCCAACTCTAACTCTTGGGCAGAGGAACCAGCTGGCCAGGTTGGGTGTCAGCACCAATGCTACCTTAGAGCACAGCTGAGAGGAATGAACTAGGGGATGATGTTCCCAGGTTCTCAGAGGAGAGATCAGAGGCAAGGTGCCCAGTAAAAATGTTTAGATCCCCTCCAGGATACCAACCACATGGATACCATGTTGCTACTCATCAGATGGAGTCCTAGTCCCCAGCCCCTCCTCTGCTGACATGACACCCAGCAGTGGTCTAAGGGCCACAGTCTGCTCTTCACAGGTGCACTGGATTCTCAATGGTCTCTCCAGATGTGAGAAGCAAGAGGGTGCCCGCTGCAGAAGTCACCGAGTCATACTTAGTTCTGGCTAAGGCTAATGCCATTTCCTGTCTATTGCGGAGAAGTGGACTCTGTAATTACCCTCTCTTCAACACAGAAATCTGAGGCTCAGAAATGGAAGTGATGTATAGCTCA